AAAACAGCACAGGAGGTGCTGGTCCCAGTCTGGTTTTGTGGGTTCTTCAATCCTCTCAGATGCTGCTAACCTTCCTGAGCAGTTGTTATGACCTTGAGTAACTTCCTAAAACCTTTAATCCCATAAAATGAGTGTAAGCTTGTTAACACCGGGGTGATACCAGAGTGTCCTGGTAAAACACATTTTAAATTATGGTGTCCAACTGCAAACGGTGGAAAGCTCTGAAATGAGTTGGATAACCCTGGCCTCAATCCTTAGCACAGCAGGACTTTTCAGATCCTCCACTGTTTGCTCTGCAGGGCTTGTTCTGGGCTCTGATAAAGGATGGGCAGACTCTCATTAAGCTGGATGCTCACCAGGTACAAATGAGCCATTGATTTGTTTAAGTGGCCCCTGCAAACCATGACCAGTTCCTACTGCAGAGCTTCCCCAGGAAAATCTGATAAAATGGGTGAGGAAGCATTGGCTGCTGAATTGGGATCAAATTTTAAAGATCAGCTGGAGATATTTTCTCAAAAGGCCTATTCTGTATTTATCTTGTTTTATTGCTTTGCTTTTGCCCTTTATTTTGAGGTTTGGTTCTGCTGTTTCTGGGTTATATTAAAAATGGGTTACAGGTGTTTATTCCCCATGACCAGTACTTATATTTTTTTAAATGGAATTATTACTTCCTTTAGAGTAGTTCTAGGCTGTAACAAATATTTTGGATATTTCCCTTTCTAATGGGCTGCTAGGTCCCTGTGTCCTCTCACCACTGCTCTGCCTGTGCAGGAGATTGCACACTTGGAGTTCCTGCTGGGGACACAACAGGGGTTATAAAAACACCCCTCTTGTCCCTCAGGAAATTCCCGGGGAACAGATGGAAGATTGTTTTCCAAGTCAGACTCAACCCATGGCTTTCTTTAATACAGTAATTGAGATATGGTGAACATAACTGTGCAAAATGCCACATAATATTAATGATAAATACACATTATACATTATAACAATCCTTCCTGTTGCAGTTTTGCATTCAGTGAAGACTTCTGTGAAATGAATATAAGAGGAATTTCAAATCAGCCCAGGTGTTGGGATCTGAACCCTAATATTTTTTTAGCTCTTTGCCTGCCCCCAGCCAAACTGGTGGAAATTCCTTGGTGGAAACTGCCTGTGTTGCTTTGTTACATATTTTTAATTGCATGCTGAGAAAAGGAATTGCTCACTGTTGTGGAGTTAAGAAAACCAAAGCAGAAATCATATTCAGGCTGGAGTTTTATATTATTTGAAAACCTTAAAGGAGAATAATTCTGAGGTACAAACAGCAATGTTGGTGTCTCTGGTAGGTCCAGGGGGTCATTTCAGGTTACCAACACACTTGAATTTTGATTTATTGCTGCTTGGAACTTCATTTTCCATGCCCTGACTGTGCTGCTTTCCTTTTCTTGGTCCATGGCAGTAAATGGCAGATGCTGCCTGGGTGTTTTTGGTTTTTTGAGGATTAGGGGACAAGTTAAAGGGTGTTTAAAGTGCCTTTGAAAGCAGTACTTGGAATAAGAGGATTGAGGGTGACATTTGTATGTTTTGCTTACCCTCTGTTGGGACTGTTTGATCCGGGGTTGGGATTTTGCTGCTGCTATTTCCCAGTATAACAGGAGCTTTGTTCCCAGTTCTCCATCTTTAAAAAGGGAAAAAAAAACCCAAACTAAACAACTTTCCACCACCCAGAAACAAAAGCTGCAATATTGTCACTTTCTGGCTGCTGATCAAAGTCTCCCTCGGGAAGTTGATGGGAATTTGGGATCAGGGAGGGAGGAAAGCCTGACCCAGCTGGGTTGGTGACCCTGTTAATGTGAGTGGGAGTCGCTGTCCCTTGGCTGAGTATTGTAAATGCAGGTGATCCCAACGGGAAGAAATGAGGATGTCTGACTCAGTTCAGAATGCTGAATTATTTCTTTATTATAACTATGCTAAAATACATTAATATACTATAGAAAAGGAGGATACTAAAACTCCATACTACTTTCTCTGACTCTCACCCAACTCGTGCCCCTCTCTGAGAGCCCAGCCCCAGGTGGGTTGGATCCCAAACAATCCTCACCAGAATCCAACCAAGCATCACCCCAGGGAAACAATTCCCCAAACACATTCCACATGGGAAAACAAGGAGCAAGAATAGGAATTGTTTTCTCTTTCATTTCTCTCTATGCACCTCTATGAAAAATCCTGAGAGAGAGAGAGAAATGAAGTGCTTGCCACAGGTGAGGGGCTGGGATTTCTGGCTGTGCCTCACAGGGATGGGGTGTTGGATCCACAAATCCCTGCCTTAAACACAGGGGGAGGATTTACCAGCTTGTCCTTGTTCCTAGGAACACAGCTGAGTGTCACCCAGTGTGGCAGGTTTTTATCACCAAATAAATTATGTCTTAAACAGCTCCAGGGTGATAAAACCTTTTCCCATTAAAAAAAAAAAAATCCCAAAAGAAAACTCTGTTCAATTTTAACAGATTAAGAAATGCAGAATATTTCTCCTGCATAGAGAAATAAATTTAACCTTTGAAATCAGATTATACAAACTAATATAATTTAGCCAGTCCAGAGTATGCTGGGTTTTCTTCCCATTCTTTTAAAGACTGCATTCCTGACAAATATTTTGCTGCTTAATTAAAATCTACAGCAGAAAATAAATCGGTTTTCATGGATCTCTTAAGAGGCAGCCAGTTCTTAGAAACAATTTCCAAATGCCCAGCTTTTGTCTGGGAGTCTCAGAAATGAGGAATGTGGGAAGTTAATTAGGATGCAGCCAATCTCCTCAATTAGTGTTGGGATTATTCACCTCCCTTTGGACTCCTGAAGGTGATCACAGGTATCTCTGTTTCTCTGCTCGTTTACAGGGGGTGATTTGTCACATTTGGAAGGATTTAATGTCAGAACAATTTCTATGAAATACAAACCCCTCATCACTGCTACTGACTTTTGAAAAGAAATGTGTTTGTTTTACTGTGTGATGGTTTGAGATGGTTGCTCAGGCTTTGTGGGCTGTGAGGTATTTTTAAAGCGTGGCCTTTGGTTTGCTGTGAAAAATTGCCCAATTAACTTAATTTTAGTCTCATCTTCTTGTTGATGCAGTGATGCTTCTGACAAGTGATAGAAGCCACAGTGAATGACAGCACTGCTCCTTTTTCCTTTAGTGATGGGAAGAATTAAACCAGAAATAAAGTCAGTTGGGGGGGATCATTTCCAAATAGATCCCAAACTTGGATTCTTTGCAGAATTTTAAGTAAATCAAAGGGCAAAACCAATTTTCTGCCCTCTGTTTTTCTGACATTGAAGTGTTTTTATTGCCCACAACTCTTTGGTTTTGTGTGAGGTGCTCCAAGTTCCTGCAATAATTATATTTTCTGCTCTGTAATGGGCAGGTAATGAGGTAAACTCATTTTGTGGGTCAGTCAACACCTGATTTCCTGTAGCACTTTTAGTAATCTCGTTAAATGAATAGTAGCTAACTTTTAAATGGCAGTAATAGGTCATTCCTTAGGGCTGTATTTTTATTTGGAGACTGAGTGTGGCAGCAGGATTTAGGCTGGTTTGATCCCATTTAAATCTCAAAACTCCTGCCCCAAAATGAAACCTTTTGAAATTAGTGTTATTAATCAAGTTTAATAGTCAATTTAATCTCTTATTAACTCCTGTACAAAGAAATTGCAGTGGAGGGAAAGAGCTGATGTTGAACTGGGATGATTCAGGGGTGCTCAAATATCCTGCAGCCAGCTCCAGGTTGGAATAAAATAAATAAATTAAATAAATGTGACCTTTCTGAAGGGAAAACCTGTCGGTTCTGAATAATCAAATCAGATTTGTGTTTGACAGCTTTCAAGGGGAGACCTTTTGCCACAAATCCCTTCTTTATTCTGTGACTCTGCCCAACCTCTGCTCTAGGGCAGCCCCCACAAAGCATCAGTGATGCTGCCTGAGGGAACATTCCCATGTGGAATTCCTGAGGAAAGGACACACAGAGCACCCCTCTCCATGGACCAGCTGCTCCCAGCCTACTCCAGGGGCACCAAAAACTGGGAATGGCTGTCCCAGGCAGTGCTGCTCCCATTTTTCTCCCAAAAACTGGGAATGGCTGTCCCAGGCAGTGCTGTTCCCATTTTTCTCCCAAAAATTGGGAATGGCTGTCCCAGGCAGTGCTGATCCCTTTTTTTTCCCCCAAATAAAAAGGGAACAACTTCAGAATCCAGCATCCAAAGTTCCCACCATCCCATAAATCTGAAGGCACAGCCTCCCAGTGCCTCTCACAGAGATTTCACCCCTTTTTGGTGGGACTCTGTGTCCCTGACCCTTTCCCTGCTGTCACAATTCCAGGATCATCCCTTCACTCACACTTTCTCTGTGCCAGCACTATCTGGACACATCATTCCCACCCAGAAGGATCCATCTGCTTCTCGTTCTTGCCTCTTCCCATATCTTCCCTTCCTAGCCCAGTTTTTCCTGTTTTCCCACCACACACTCAATATCCCTGTGGTTTTTTCCCCCCTCAGGCAATTCCTTCTCACCTATTATTATCTAGAAAATAAGCAGAAAACAACATCTCAGCAGATGGATTCAGCCATTCCACACTCCAACTGAACAGGGATGAAATGCTGCCAGACTTTGGACACTGAAACCTAAATCTTCAAGGATTTATCCAAAAATTAGTGCCCAAACCTTTGCTTTGTAGGATCTACAAACTGGACGGTATTCCAGCACTTCCCTTGATGTTTAGGTGAAATAATCTGTTTTTTGAGAATAACGCAGCAAAAATGAACCACGAAAGATGTGTGAAGTTGTTCCTTATTTAGGATTTTTTTTTCTCTTTTGGGATGAAAGATTTGTGAGGTTGTCTTTTATTTAGGAATGTTTTTTTCCATTTTGGGATGGTGGGACAAAGGTAATGGAGGATCCTTGTACCCATTTTCAAAGTCCCCCTGCTCTAATGAAAAAATGGTGCCATGTAAAAAAAAACTTCATGGCCCCTTCCAACCCTTCCATGATTTTCATTTATTGTGGGCATGAGTAGATGGAATTTCTATTTCATGTTAGATGAAACACATCACTGAAATATAAACATTTAAGTAAAATTCTTTCTCCATAGCCAGAAAAACAAAAGTGGCCTCAATTTGGATAAGCCACCCATTTGATATTTTTTCTGAGTCTATGACTATCACAAACTGAATTTTTGACAGATTTAGAAACATTTAAATTGATAAAAAGCCTAGATTTTTTTTTTAATAAAGGCATTTATTAAAATACCTTCCCGTTTTCTGCAGCATTTCTCTCTCTGCCAGCTCCGTGCTGTGAATTCCTGGTCTCTGTGAGATCCCACTTGAGAACCCAGATTGGTGCCAGCTTTTCTGAAGTGCTGCTGGAAATAGATCCCCACCACCACCACCACCCCCTGAGGGAAAAGTCGTGGTGTTTACTTTCTCCTCCCTGAGATGGAGCTGAGTGTGTCATCCTGGCAGGGACTGTGGGAATAACAGACCAAACAGTGCTTTGGAATCTGAAGTAAATCCTGGTTTTTTCATGGTTGTGACACCAGCAAAGCTGGCTTTACATGGCCAGTAGTGGCTGGGTTCTTCCACAGTCCCATCCATGTGTGTTTTCACTAAAATCTGATTTCAAGTGATGCTCATCAGCAAGAAAAATAGGAGGAAAAATAGAAGGAAAATCAAGCTGCTAAGGACACACAAGACTAAAAAGTCTTTTTAGGGGAATTGAGAACCCTGGGTGGTTTCCTTTCCTCATCCAAAGAGGAAAACCCTGGGTGGTTCCATTTCCTCACCCAAAGAGGGTCACGGTTTGCTCTGTAAATATTCTGGTGCTGTTGAGTGAAAGCAGAGTTGGACCAGGGAAACTTCATGGAGGAGTAGAAAAGCAAACTTTGTCCTATTTGATGGAAATTGTAGAGTCCTGGAATGGTTTGGCTTGGAAAGGACCTTAAAGGCCATCTCATTCCCAAGGCAGGGACACCTCCCATTATCCCAGATTGCTCCAAAAGTCCAACCTGGCCTTGGACCCCTCCAGGGATCCTGCATGGATTTCCCCAGGCTGCAGTTTCCTTTTGATGCGATCCTTGTTCTCCCTGGCACCAGGAGTGCTGTTCCCACACACAGGGCTTAGTCACTGCAAAGCCAACCAGCTCAAATATATCCTCATTTCCAAGTTGAGAAGGAAAATACTCTGAAAAAAAGGAAATTATTTATTAGAAAACACGCTTGCCATGTAAAATATCGGTGTGAAGCACAAAGGTGAGCAGAGCAGATTGGTTTTCTGTACCTCAGAGGCAGCACGAGCACAACCTCTGATGTAAATGTTACTATAGTAACAGTGGTTTTATTTAAAAGCCCGTTAAATAGACATATCAAACACATCCAGCCTGTCAAAATGAAAGTTAAACTGCACAGCCTGCTGCTTCAAGGACCACTTTTTTTTTACCAAACTTGTATATTTTGCTGCAATTTCCCCCTTGAATGCACTCAGATCTTCTTTTTGCCAAATGACACCGTGGCTCTTGGGAAATAAGCTGCACTAATGGTGACAGCACTAATTACCTGGGACCTCTTGTGCAGCCGTGTGAAGGCTTAAAAAGGGATGGAAATTTGCTGTAGATCATTCCCTTCTGCCTCCCTCAAAAGCTTATTCCTAACAGAGCTTAACTATTAAAAAATAAAGAATATATTATGAAATATTATCTGTTCATCCTTCCTTTCCCACAGGTTCAGCTGAACTTCCCTTGGGAAGCCAAAGCTGTTTGGTGCCACTTGGTTTTTCTCCCTTTTCTCCTTCTTCCCTCTCCATGAGCAGCTGCTGTGGCTCTGCCCTTCCTGCCTCTCAAACCATGCTTTGATTATAAAGTAATTACAGATTTGCATAAATGAAGAGAATCTTGTGAATATCAAGGGGTTTATGGTTTTTGTGCTTGTATTTTTTTATTTTGGAAACTTCCCTGTGCTTGCTGTGGTACAAAGTCCTGGTGTTCTTTGCTTAAAAGATGAATAGTTTGGAGAAGGGATGGAGGGACAGGAAAAGAGGGAATGGCTTCACCATGAAATAAAGTTGGTTTGGATTGGATATTGCCAAGGAATTCCTGGCTGGGAGAGGGGGGATGCCCTGGAATAGAATTCCCAGGGAAGCTGGGGCTGCCCCTGGATCCCTGGCAGTGTCCCAGGCCAGGCTGGAGCAGCCTGGGACAGTGGGAGGTTGTGGCAGCACATTTCTCTTCCTCTCAGGATTTTTCATGGAGGTGCACAGAGAGAAATGAAAGAGAAAACAATTTCTGTTTCTGCTCCTTGTTTTCCTATGTGGAATGTGTTTGGAGAATTGTTTCCCTGGGGTGATGCTTGGTTGGATTCTGGTGAGGATTGTTTGAGATCCAACCCACCTGGGGCTGGACTCTCAGAGAGGGTCACGAGTTGGGTGAGAGAGAAAGTAGTATATCCTCCTTTTATATAGTATGTTAATGTATTTTAGCATAGTTATAATAAAGAAATCAGTCAGCATTCTGAACTGAGTCAGACATCATTATTTCTTCCCATTGGGTTCACCTGCATTTACAATAAGTGGTGACCCTGCCCATGGGATGGGATTTAAATTTTATCCATTTTTAAGCCTTCCAACCCAAACCCAGCCTGGCATCTCTGCTCCTCCCCAGATAATCTATCTGGATGGAAAACCAAGCAGGAGATTCTTGAATCAGGAGAGCTGAGCAGGGGATTAGGAATTTTTATTTGTAAGAGATCAGGGAATTATTATGATCTGCCACACAGGGCTCTGTGACTGTATCCAGCATAATTGGTGGAAGGAATTGCTTTAATGTCACATTTTTAAAATAAATAAACCCTCAAGGCTGAAGTTTTGTTCTGTTGGAGAGCAGTTCTGTGTTTCTTGCTCACACTTAGATTGAAAACATGCACATAGGTCACTGAAATCTTCTCATGTGCTTTGCAAAACCACTTGGGGCTTGGTATTTTATGGTATTTTGTTGTTTTTAAACATGAAACTCGTTGAAAGGCTTCTGGCCCCTTGTTATTTCTATAATGCTTTGAGGGAGAAAATCTGAGGTGAAACGTGGAGGCTGAGGGAAAAAAAAAAAATTTCCTTGTTTGTATTTATGATAAAAGCCTCTCCAAAAGTTGCTTTGGTTCCACTAATGAGGGAGGCCCTGAGCAGAGGGGATTCTGTACTGAGGCTGGAGAACATCCTGGATTTCCATGTCGTGGTGAAAAAAGCCCAGAGAAACTGAAAATCCTGGAGTCAAAATAGCACTGGCAAAATGGAAACTCACTGAGGTAATTCAGACGTGAAGAGAAACAACACAACAGCGATGAAAACACTTGAGCAGCAAGATGTCAAATAATAATAAAATACTATTTTGTAATAATAATAAAGTAATAGAATCCCAGAATCATTTATGTTGGAAAAAGCCCTCCCAGGCCAGCAAGCCCTGATCCCCACCTTGTTCCCAGCCCAGAGCTCTGAATGCCACTTCCAGGAATTCCTGGGACACCCCCAGGGATGGGGAATCCAAACCTCCCTGGGCAGCCCCTGCCAAGGCCTGACCTCATCTAAAAATACAATACACAAACACTCAACAAAAAACCTTCTATTTCTATAGTTATAAATAAAAATATACCTTAAATAAATAACTATATTAAAATATAATTTAAAATATAGTTATATAAAATAGCTAAAAATGTAAAAATTATAAAAACATGTATGTACAAATAAACCAAAAGCCATTAAATAAAAATATTCACAATACAATAAAAGAATAAATTAATAACCCAAAAATTCTGTAACAACTATCAGTTAAAAAAATTATGTATTACCTTATAACAAGAAAACTTATAACTAAACTATAACCAAATACTTACTCCCCTAAAATCTCATACCTCTAAAATTAATTTATCTAAACAAATCTCCTTTCTATGGGGAAATTCCTGTCCTGTCCCTGTTCCCTGATCCCACCTGGTTCCCAAATCCTGTCAGGGATCAGCCTTTGAGGCCTCCAGGGAAGCTGGTCTATAAAGAAAGACAGAATAAACTGGAATTGAAGTTTACACAAAGGATGATGAGGATGAAACCACAACGTAACACACGTCAAAGAACTCTGAAAGGAGGAATTACCTGTTTTCTGTCTTCCTCAAGAGGATTAAGCTCAAGGAAGTTTTAGTTTGGGTCTTATGGGAGGGGGGATAATTAATAAAATAAATAAATTTGCACTAGTGGAGGCTTTGTAGGGGATTTTTTTTTTCCTGGCTGGCTGAACTGCAGTGGCACATGAGGAAGTGAAAGAAAACTCTGTCAAATGTTTGTCTCAAGATAGTCTAAATAAAATAATTTTCTAGTGGCAGCTTTTGACAGCTTGTGCTTATGCTGTGAAAGTCTGGGATATGAAAGCTTCAGTGGCTTCCTAACCTCAGACATGAGCTGTATTTAGTCAGATTTCCCAAACTGTCATACTAGAATCAGGAAATATTTTAAAATTAGAATTTATCAATTAAGAGGGGTTATTTTAATAAGGAGCAAAATTGGCTGATGCTGCTTTGCGGAAATGGGTTGTGAATTACAGAAAGTCAATAAATAAATGAAAGCCAAATCAGTGGGTTTGCTCATGGGAGAAGTATTTACACCACCCAAAAGATAGTTCCAGTCTGGTTACTTGAGAAGAGCTTGCAATAGGGAAACAAAAATATTTATCTTCATACCTCATGAAGCAGAGATAGTGGGTTTGCATTTCTTTTAAAATAATATTGCTGAGAAGAAAAAACATTGTATAAAACCCTCAGTTGGGCCTGGCTGGGACTTTCATCTCTAGTTCACTCGTTCGTAATTACTGCTGCCTTTTACAAAAGGATGAGCACAAGCAAAATTAAAGGTCCATCTTTCCTGGCAGGGCTAAACCCTTGCTTAAGATTCCTTGAAATAATTTTTGGGTGTTGTTTTTAATTGCAAGCTCCTGTTAAATATGTGGTATTGCTTTACATCTATCAACTCCACAAATGCTGAAGTGCAAAAGGGTCAAAAATGTGATTCAGTCCATTACTTGTGGAGTAAATGGTAATTTATATCAACTGCTCTTAAATTAAAGCCAGCAGATAATGGATATATGCATTACAGCACAACCAGGTCTTGAGATATTTGAATTAATTAGCATCATTAAGAGGCCAGGTTGGATGAGCCTTGGGCAACCTAGTCTAGTAGAAAGCGGCAAGGGCGGAATGAGATGAGCTTTAACTTTTCCACGGTTGTCCCTCCTGCTGTGTCTGTAGGAATTTTATTTCCTGCTCCCTTGTTATCCTTCCTGCTCCTGGTCAGCATCCGTGTTTTCATGCCAAAGAGGAGATTCTGATCCAGCACAGGGAGCAGAGCCCGACCCCCGGCTGTCCCTGTGCAGAGCCAGAAGGGCCCTGAGCCTCCTTTGCTCCAGGCTGAGCCCCCTCAGCTCCCTCAGGGATTCTCCAGCCCCTTCCCGGCTCCCTCAGGGATCCCCCGGCCCCTTCCCGGCTCCCTCAGGGATCCCCCGGCCCCTTCCCGGTTCCCTCAGGGATCCTCCAGCCCCTTCCCGGCTCCCTCAGGGATCCCCCGGCCCCTTCCCAGCTCCCTCAGGGATCCTCCGGCCCCTTCCCGGCTCCCTCAGGGATCCTCCAGCCCCTTCCCGGCTCCCTCAGGGATCCCCCGGCCCCTTCCCGGTTCCCTCAGGGATCCTCCATCCCCTTCCCGGCTCCCTCAGGGATTCTCCGGCCCCTTCCCGGTTCCCTCAGGGATTCTCCGGCCCCTTCCCGGCTCCCTCAGGGATTCTCCGGCCCCTCCTCAGCTCCCTCAGGGATTCCCCGGCCCCTTCCCGGCTCCCTCAGCCTCTCCTGGGGCTCCGAACCCTTCCCAGCCCCTTCCCCACTATCCCGTGTGAGGGTCCCGGTGTTCCAAACCCTTCCCAGCCCCTTCCCCACTATCCCGTGTGAGGGTCCCGGTGTTCCAAACCCTTCCCAGCTTCATCCCGGCTATCCCGTGTGAAGGTCTCGGTGTTCCAAACCCTTCCCAAACCCTTCCCAAACCCTTCCCAGCTATCCCGTGTGAGGGTCCCGGTGTTCCAAAACCTTCCCAGCTCCATCCCGGCTATCCCGTGTGAGGGGCCGCGGCGGGCGGGGCGCTGGGCCGGGGCGGGGCAGCGGAAGGGTCGGGGCTGAGGGGGACCGAGGGAAGCTGAGGGGGACCGGGGGAAGCTGAGGAGAACCAGGCTGGGGACGGAGGGATTGGAGCTAAGGGGAGCCGGGGCTGAGGGGAGCCGAGGCTGAGGGGAGCCGAGGCTGAGGGGAGCCAGGCTGAGGGCAGCCGGGCTGAGGACAGCCGGGCTGAGGGCAGCGCCCGTCCGGCGCTCCCCGTCGGAGCAACACCGTGTCAGCGTCGCTTCAGCCACCAGTCGGAACCCCGAGAGCAAGGAGAAGCAGGTTGGTGAATTTTCTTTTTATCCGCTTTCCCCCCCCCTCCTCTAATATCCTGAACCATCCCCCTGAGCACAGCCCTCAGCCGGTTTCGCATCCCGCTCGCAGATCCAAGTGGTTTCAGCCCTTTCCCTCCTTATATTCCCTGAGATTCAGTGTCAGAAGGAAAACAAAAATAAATCTCGGTGAATGTGGGCTGTGAGTCCCCGATGCTGCGGGAGCTGTGATAGAAGAGAACTTCAGAAAGTTAATGAGTGGTACAGCACTTATGAATGTATTTTATAATTAACACACTGAGAGCCCTTAACTTCCAAGCGCGCCTATAACGTGGATATAACCTTTAAGTGCCAAGGAATCCCAGGAGCTCTGCTCGTAAGGAAGGACAGATCCACAGCATGAATGAGGAGCGGTTTCACTACAAACAGAGAAATTCCAGGGTCTGGAGAAACTCTGAAGAGTTCGGGACGTTTTGCTGTCGAGTCTTGGGGGCGAGGCTCCACCAGCAGGTTTAGAGTTGGATTTGTAGCTGTGCTTCTGTTCAGTTTGGGTTGCCTTTATTAAAGCTTTAATATCAGCAAAATTATTCAGTGTGGATCGTACTCATTTCTATTTTGTGTGTACCGCTTACTCAAAACTCTTTATTAAGAATGGTTTTTAATACACTCAATGGCAAAATGGAATTCCATGCTCAGACCAACAGGACTGGAAAGCCCTTGGCACTTTAAAGAACAGGTCAGAAGATGCTGTGCATAGACATTATTGCTAAAATATTTTTATGCTTTCTAGAGATTTTTAATATTTAAAACCAGCTGTAGTGCAGTGCCTGCAAAAATCAGGGATGTTTTATATTTTCCATGCCCAGTGCAAGTGTTTGTGGGTCCTGCTCATTTCAGGTTGTACTGAACCTATTTCCCATGCTGATAAGCCAGGGAATGCTAGGATTTCTCACTTGTCCTGTAAATAAAAATGATCTTATTTCATTGCTCTCCTCCTTGCCTGTCATATCTGTTGTGTTTTGGTTTTAATCCCAACTATTGGTGCTGAGTTATTCTGCAATTCTGTGGTTGATATGGAGAGGAATACAGTATTTACATAAGAAATCAGGAAATTTCTTGTACACAGCAGCAGCAAACTCTGTGGTTCCAGAATAATTTAAGATACATTTGTTCAAAAGGACTCAAATTCCTTCCTTTTGTACAGACACTTCCCCAGCCTCAAATAAATCAGTTTGTCCTGGCTGTGTTCATTTGTTCTCTCTAGGACAGAGCTTACAAGTTGTAGTAATTCTCTTTATTTAACTTCCAGTTCTCTGTAAATGTTCCTGTAAAACTTGTGTTCTTTCTTACAGTGGAGTAAGGACTTCTGGCAAGTTCAATGTTCTCACTGGAAAAGATTTTGGGAATCCTGTCTGCTCCAGCAGTGCATTTGTCCTGCCCTGGGATTTATCTGTAGATATCTCTTTTTACCCAATTCTGCAAAGTTTACACAAGGAAGGCTGAACTTTGAACAGAGAAGGGGCTGATTCTGTGGCCATGCAGCTTTCAGGGCTTTTTGGTGATGTTCAGTACTGGCTTTGGTCAGGAATGTTGGAAAAACACCTCTGTAAAACCAGCCTAGGTCCGTGTGACAGGAGATCCCAAGCTGGCCTGACAAGGAGTTTTGCTTTCTGCTCCAAATATTAAATTAGTGCTGACATCAGAACGTCTGATTGCTCTGTCTGGCCGTTTTTATGTCAGAATCCCGAAATCATTGAGGTTGGAAAAGCCCTCCAAGACCATCAAGTCCAGCTTTGTCCCCAGCCCTGAGTGCCACTTCCAGGAGTTCCTTGGACACCTCCAGGAATGGGGACTCCAAATCTCCCTGGGCAGCCCCTTCCAATCCTGACCACCTTTTACAGGGAGAAATTATCCCTTAATTTTTTTTGCCTTCCATCAGGACATTAAAAAACCTGTATATTAATTATATTTATTAATATATTAATTAACCCACGTGGGGTTCTGGGGCTCTGTGGTTGTTTTCTTCCCAGTGTAAATGGGTATTTCATAGGGGAAACT